CTACACACGTTACATATCGCCGCGAACGTCGCAGTGAGAGCGATCATTTTAGGGCCATCAATCACCGATAACACTAAACTGATGAGCGGTAACAGCTTTTAAAGCGTCGCCTATGACCAATTTGGGGTATTATCGTTTTTTTGAGGTTTCGCGCGCGCACGCAATTTTAAGGCTTGACATGTTTGGTGTCTTTTTACCCGACGTGACCCCGTCTTTTATATTTTACCAAAAAATTGGGTAATGATAAATGTTTTATCATTTAATATAGGGGGAACTGTTTTTTTTTTTACACATTTCTGTAATTTTACCTTAATATAGTAAAAAAATAAAACCCCCAGTGGTGAATAAATACCACCAAAAGAAAGCTCTATCTGTCCCCAAAAAAGGGTATAAAATTCATTTCAGTACAGCGCTGCATGACGGAATAAATGTCAGTCAAAGTACCGCAGCGCTGAACACTGAGCAATGGCCTGGATGGGAAGGGGGTTTAACACCGCGGATGTCAACTGGTTAAGGAACACAATCTATTGTTTCATAGACCACAGTTGGGGTCAACGCAATATAAGCTATGTATCTATTGGTGAGGTTCAATAAGGCCCGGTAACTGAGAAAATAGATAGCATTTGTCTACAATCTCTAATTTCAGTGATACAGTCTTATTCAGCAGATGGTATGATGAAAAGTCAATCTAAGTGAATAATTTATGTGGCTCCTGAATCCCCTCTAAGGAGTACTCGCGGTTTGAGGTCCGGCAGGTGATAAGCTGTGCTGGCTGTAAGGAGGTTACAGGAGGAGATGATGGTGTCGGGGGGCTGCAGGGCCCTGAGTCCTCAATCATGGAACGCCGTGTCAGCCTCCCAACTAGTTTAAATAGCCCCTGGACACGGAAGTGTCCGGAACGAACCGCCGGTCGACTTCCGCTTCCACCCTGGAACGCACGCGTCACTCCTTAGGGGCAGAGCCGTGGTGCAGCTCGCTCCAGCACTGCATTCCAGCGTGGAACACAATTGGCATCCCGGGGAGCCGCGGAGGATATTACAGCACCCCATAAAATCACAGGAAGATATATTTTAGAAACAATCAGATATCAGACAATCCGACATTCACATCTCCGATCCTCAGGATCTCTCCCATCGGATCATCATTTACAGTATAATTCTCACATCAGCTTCTGCAGGGTACAGTCTGGATGTCGGAGACCCTCACACAGAAGTTTTATTCCAGAGTCCTGCAGATTATCATATGATAAATACAGGCCGATGAGAGATCGATTAGTGATAAGTATTGATCGGAGAACATCGCAGGACGAGGAAGATAAACCACAACCATCCAAACTGTGGAGAGAAATATAGAGACATGAAATGATACTTCAGGAGGAATACAAGGACTTATTGTCATTTACTGAGAAGTCATAACAATGATTTGTATCTACTGGACATATAAAGCGATCACATGACCATTGCTGAACCAGAACCCCGAGTCCTGGACAGCACTGCTTCACTCTAATGGGTCTCATCAGCCGGGGATGGAAGTTCTGGTTACATACAGCCAATAGGAAGACCTTATGGCAATGTCCTCTGGGAAAATATGCAAATAACCCTCTCCAGGGAGAAGGGACTGCTGGGTAATGTCATGTCTTACATGAGAGATCTGTAAATGAATGTCCTGCACACTAGAACAGGGGTAGGAAAGCTCCATCCCTCCAGCTGTGGGGCAGCTACAAATCTAATGGGCGTAATGTTATATAAAGAGTAAAAAAACATATAAAACACCCGAACAAAATGTATAAATGATAAATGATCCCAATCCATCCGAGTTCTCTCTATACAATGCCACCAAGGGAGGTCATTAGGAGGACCCCAAGGTCCATGGAGGAGATAATAAAGGGGGAGGAGACATGAGAAGAGGGGATGTGATGGAAGACACCCGGAGCTACAAGGAAACACCGAGAGACGTCACATTTCCCATCACTGCCGGGATCACTCTTACTCTAATATCTCAATTTCACTCTTCGGGTTCCTCAGATAGGAAAGAATATCAGGAACCATCTCATGTCCTGAGGAGGAGGAGCCTTCATCATGTGCTGAGGAGGAGGAGCCTTCACCATGTCCTGAGGAGGAGGAGCCTTCATCATCTCCTGAGGAGGAGGAGCCTTCATCATCTCCTGAGGAGGAGGAGCCTTCATCATCTCCGGAGGAGGAGTCTTCATCTTCACCATACCGTCTCTGAAATTTACACCACATAAACCTAGAAGAGAATGATGAGATAAGAATGACACGGAGAATGTCTGACCTCTGACATGAAGAAGGAAAATGGAACAATCATCATTTATAGGAGATGAACCCAAACTGGATGATGGGAGTTGTGCTCCGTGCTCTGTGTATAACAATTGTCATGTGTTTCCCAAAACATCCTGTTTTATCCTTTTTTCATCCTTTGCTAGATTGACACTTCTCCTGATCTCCTTTAGCTCCTTTGCAGCAACTTCCTGTCTACATGTTCTCCACCAATGGCTGCATGACATTTCTCAGGGCAGGATTCCTGACGGTGACAACTACGGACAATTCCTATAACAGACAGACAAGGACAGAGCGTTGTCACCCTAAAACAGGCAGACAAGGAGAGAGCGTTGTCACCCTATAACAGACAGACAAGGACAGAGCGTTGTCACCCTATAACAGACAGACAAGGACAGAGCGTTGTCACCCTATAACAGACAGACAAGGACAGAGCGTTGTCACCCTATAACAGACATATAATATAATATTTGGGCTCCTGATGTAGAGTTGCAGTATGTGTGTGAGAAAGGTCTGGTGGGTTATTAGCTCCATGTGGCCATTAAGCTAGTGACGGTTATATTTTCGTTAATGTACGAACATTTGTTATGATGACGTTAAAAAGCAAAATACCTTTGTTAATATTATATACCACTATAATAAGTCACGTGGCCCCTTGGAGTAGACACGAGGGATGAGTGAACGGTCTCGGGATTGGATGATGGGCCATTTTCAGGGTCACCAGGTAAAGTATTATCATACTGTAATAGACGTACCGGGTTACGTTCCTCCGTCGGGCTCCAACGCCGTCCTGCGCAGGCGCGCAGTGGTAACCCCTCACCTCCTAGCAGGGACTCAGTAGTGCGCAGGCACGCCCTGGGACTCCGCCCACCTCATTCGAGCAGTCGGCTTAAAGCCGCTGCTCAGTGATTGATCGGCGTCCTACTGTTGATTGTAGCAGGACACTGATCAATCACTGTCTGCCTTGCTGCCCTTCAGGATCATCAGCCACAAGCAGGTCGTCGGATCCAAGAGTCTCAGGGCTCTACCATTGACCACCAAACAAACCGCAAGTAGAGGCATATGCCTCCTGGCTACCAGGACACTACTATAGTGCTGTTGCTCACAGCCATTAACCCTGTGTGCTATAACTTCATACCCTGCTCTCTAACTACCAGAGGAGTGGCACTTCCATTGTTGCCAAGGGGAGTATGATGTTAAGCAGCTCTCTATCCGCCTAACCAAATACAGGGCAACAGAGTTCAGCTGATCCCCATCCATGAAACTCCGCAGTTGCGATCCATTCCCATAGATAAGAGAAGCGAGGCTTTACACATACAAAGGAAATGTGGGTCTGGATCCTGCCATGGGGGACATTCCCCAATGTGATATAAATAGGGGGGGGTCTCCTTATGATGTGACTTGGAGGAGGACATGGGGAATCCTTTCTATGAGATATTTGGGAGATTTCTTTCCTCTGTATGTCATATAACAGAACAGAAGGATTCTTATGGGCGGAGTCAGTGACATCACATGTTTATCAGGTGGAATGGATTCTTCTACATTTGGAGTAAACACAGCAGCAGATTGTATAGAACTAGAAAGAAATGACTTTTGTAGCTGGTTGTAGATGTGTCATGTGACTTATTATCCAGCAGTAATAGGCCGGAATGAAATGGTGGAAGAAGAAGACACAACAGACATCCAATCTATAGGAAAGTTTACTGCTCACCACTTGAGTCCTGGCTGCCATATTACAATGGTATTGGGGTATGATGTGTTCCCTATGTTCTACTCTATGGGGCTGATTCATCAATCTTCCAGCCAGTGTATAGCTGGAGCAATGTTGTGTGCACGGCATTACCACCACTAGATGGAGCCGAGGAGCATAGGAAGATGTATAAATCAGCCCCATGTCTTTATTATATGTCTGGTGTCTTCTCCCTCAGTCTCTGGAGGTTTCTCTCCTCTCACATTATCTGACAGACAAGACAATGGGAGAGAAGCCGAATATTGAGCACTTGGATCTTCTATCACTTACCTGGAGGAACCCACCAGAGGATCAGACAAGCACGCCACTTCTTTGTGGACTGAATACAAGGACTGATGAGCACTTGTCACTTGTCTTCATTGTGTACAGAGTATGAGACTTCCATGGAATATAGGAATCATAGAACAAGTCGCTGTTTGTATGATAAGTTATGAGGGTTTCATTCATTGTAGGAATATTCTAGATTGATGTGCTGAACCTTTCTATTTATTTACAGATAGGTGAGGTACATGGAGGATGTCTGATAATAACCCCCATTATACTGTATGCAGGTTCCTGCCCATGACAGCCTACAAGGTGCTCAGACTCTGCTGATTGCTCTCAATTCACTTAGAAATAATCTCACTCACTTACAGAATACCCCGACTCCTGTGTACAAACAGAGATAACGATTTCTGGCACTCGGCATCCAGTGTGAGGTCCATAAAATATAATGACAGAAAACTTTCACCCTTCAAAGTCTTCAAGCAATAGTCCAGCTGCATGGCATGATTCCTCACATTCCTCCTGATGTAAGACCTTGACACCTTCAAATCTGATCTCTGAGACATGACTCTCCTTATGAAGTCCTCATCCTGAGTCTCATACAGATAGACAATGTCATTAGTATTGATTTCCCCATTCATGACCTTCATGGCCCATTCTTCTATCACAGATCTGGCTGGCAGTGAGATGTTGATCCGTGTGACCTCTAAGAATGTTTTCACCAACTTTTCATTCAGGAGACCGAACAGGAATTGTACAGCTAAAGATAAATGTGGATGTTCTATAAAGATTTCTCTTAGTGATTTCCCTTCACTGATTATCAGAGGAAAAGGGTCCATCCTTGTTTCTTCATTTCCAGAACCACCATCCAGCCCATAATACAGAGCAGCCAAGAACTCCTGTACACTCAGGTGGATGAAGCTGTAGTAGGTCTGGGTGCGGACTTCCCAATGGAAGATGTTCTCGTTCAGGAACACAGACTCCACCTCACACAGAGACAGTCCGTGTCTTTGTAGATCTTCTTCCTTAAACAAGATTTGCTGGTTCAGAACTCCCTCATGGGCCAGAGCACACAGCTTCCTCAGACAGTTGTTGATGTCCCGAGGTCTCCCATCCACACACCGGTCCTTCTTGCTGTGATGGGTTAGTAAAACCTCCAGGTAGAGGAGGTAAATGGAGGTAATTGTTTTACATCGAATTAAAGCCAAATCTTTCTTCATTTCTTGTTGTATTACAGTGCAGACAATCCAGCATGTGACGGGGACAACACACATGGTGTACACAATATCATTGTCTCTTATTATACGGAGAGCCTTGTCTGCATTTTCTGCATATCCAAAGAATTTATGGACATATTCCTCCCGATCTTCCCTTGTAAATCCCTGGATTTCCACACAGCGATAATCATCTAGCAATGTGTTCAGTTTCTTCATGGCCAGGGACCTCGTGGTGATGATCAGAGAAGATCGTTGGAGAATCCGTTTCCTGAGCAGGCTTTGGAGAAGTATTTCTTTGTGAGTTTCCTCAGAAACATCATGACAAACCTCAGATTCCTTCCCCAGAGTCCAACTCAGTTCATCAAACCCATCAACTAGAAAGAGAAGTTTTCTCTGACTTCCAGGATCCTTCAGAATAGACACCAGGTCACCTGGACACGGCAGTCTGCAGCTTGTGGATAAAAGTCCCACCAGGTTTATGTTTCCAGTGATGGTGTTGAGTTCTCTACAGCTCAGATAAAACACAAAGTCATATTTGTCTTGGTAGAGATTCCCAGAGGCCCAGTCCAGCATGATCTTCTTGGAGGTCATTGTTTTTCCAATCCCAGCAGGTCCTTGTAACACCACAATGTTAGGGATGAAACCATCTTCATCGGGGGCAAAGAGGTCCTGGATTGTGATTGGGGAGTATTTATCAGAAGATCTTTCCTCCATGATCTGTAGATGTCCTCTGTCTGTACTCCTTAGTTCTTGTTCTTTCTCCTCTTTCTTCTGGCGTCCCTTCCTCATTAATAACTTGGTGTATCTTTCCTGTAGACTAACAGCCTCTCCCCCACGGGAATTATATTCATGAATCCGCTGGAACATCTCTTTCACAGACTCTCTGTATTCCTTTCCGAAGTCTTTATAAGAGAAAGACAAATATTTGATTCCTCATACAAACATGAAATATGATGTGAAACATTCTAACCAGAAGAACTCAGAATTGAATGATAAAATATCTCATGAAATACCGGAGAATTGTGGAAGAAGTCCAAATATTCCCCCATCACCCAGACTACAACACAACACAATGTTTCTCCAGAAGAGATCTGATATGTCATGTGGATGTCCTACTCACCCGATAAGCTCATGTCATGTGACGTCGTCTTCAGTTTGGCTGGAAAATAAGAAATTATTGTAGAAGAAGTAAGCTGTGTGCAGGAGAATATCTTCCTCTCAGAACCGCAACCTTTCTAGGGTCGGGACCCATTGGTAACATTTATTAAGTTGTGGTGACCCCAACATTATAATTATTATTAGGGATGCACCATTCCATTTTTTTGTGTGTCGAGTACGAGTACCGATATCGGTACTCTCTGCCCCAATTATAAGCAAGCTGGGTGGATCATGACTTGCCGCCTGGCTTTCTTATTGCCACGTGCCCTTGGCATTGAGAGGGTGTCCCCATGCTGATGGGGACAAGGGCCCCCTACAACCCTGGCCCAGTGTTTGTTGGGGTCTGTGGGCAAGGGGGTCCCCACAACCACCAGGTCAGGGTTGTGGGGAAGAGGCCCTTGTCCCCATTGGCACGTGGACACCCTGCCAATGCCAAGGGCATGTGGCCTGGTAAGGCGCAGGGTGGGGTGGCACTCGATGTCCCCCAGGGCCAGTGCTCGGATCAAGGGTCTGGTAGGAATGTTAGGGGGGACCACACTTTGCTTCCCATCTTGGTGGGCTGGGGTTCCCCCTTAAAAATCCTACCAGACCTAAAGGGCCCACTATGAATTGGGGGGGAACCTCACGCTTTTGTTTTTTCCGCTTCTGCAGACTGTAAAAAGAAAAAAATTCCCTCAAATTTCACTTTGCAGCAACACAATATCGTATAGACCTGGGCTCAAAATTTCAAGTCCTGAGCTACTAGCCAGGCC